GTGAGTCCATTAAATCTTTTTCTTTATAAATTACTGAGTCTCAGGTATGTCTTTATCAGCAGTCTGAAAACAGACTAATACACTAAGTTTCCCTAGTTTATTGCCATTAGATCACATTAGACCATAGCCCCTCTGTCCTCTTGTATATCTCCACGACTGTTCACTTTTCACCAAACCTAGCATGAAAACACACAGGTTTAACTGTTCCTTTGGGTCTTCATTTCCCTATGAAGCCTCCTGTATCACATGAAACTTATGCTAAATAAACATTTACACTTTCTGTTAATCTGTCTTTTGTTACAGGGGCCTCAGCCATGAACCTAGATTAGGTAGAGAAAAAGGTATTTTTATCCTTGTCTCCAAAGCAATGGAGTGAAGTTGACAGGATTTGTTCTTCTGAGTCCGTTTATCTCTTTCGGTACCCCAATGTCCTTTGCTGACCTTAACTTTCCCCTAGTAGGAACCCACCCAGACTTGATCTCAAGAACAATATCTTCATTCAAGTCCTTTTCCTTTCCTACTCTTCTCTCATCTAAACTTGCCTGTCTCTTGTTCTAAAAGCTTAAGGTCTTACAGGAGTCTATCAAACCAACCTCTTAAATTAGTCATGTCAAAGTATTAATGTCTGGGTGTGTCCAAGACAAAGCTGATTGTGTTGCTTCCCATAGTAAAAGACAACTATGCTGATCAAGCACGACTCTCTGAGTAGAGTAGAATGCTGACTTAGTATAGAATGTTTGGCAGTGGTGTGCTAGTAAGCCAACTCTTTGCAGGGTGGAAGAGACAAAGCACTGATTTATAGCACTTGCCAGTATCCATGATGTAAATAATCACACCATGGCCTGACTTCAAGCCACTAATGATTTAACAAAAAAACTCCTAAATATTTAACAATTGGTCCTTGCTAATCCCCAGACACTAGCCCTAGTACGCTACTTGGTTGGGAAGCATGAAGTTCAGGAACTGGTGGACTTTCAGGGGTGCGAGTGACACATCATTTGTAGGATCAGTGTCATTTGGTTGAGACTCTTGACACTCAGAGGAGCTGGCCCTGGGAATGAGTCCATCCCTGGTTGGCTGACTTTCAGAAGCATGAGGCTGACACTGATTGGTTAGCTTGCCAAGTTTATTCTGAAATGAGTTGTCATTGATCCACTGCTCAGGCTTGGAACCAGTTCTGAAAGCTACTTGTTATTATGGGCACATAACAATCTGTTTCTCAAGTTTGTAGGAACTTTTGTTCCCAAGTGTTACCCACACGGGATAAAAAATTAACTCAGGCCTTTCTTAGAAAAGACTGGACAAGATGGGTCACTTATTATTCAGTGAGTGACTTCAATTAGAATAATAGCTTTTGGATGGCCAATGAAGCTAAGTACAGAAGAATCCCCCACTAACATTAAAACAGATTCATCTTAATGAGATGCATTTCTTTTTTCTTCTTTTCCCATTTCTATGAACTTCTATGATTCTGGGCCTAACTAGAGGATTTGCGGGTAGGATTTTCAATTCATTTTATTGGGACAATCTGAGATTTATTTCTTTGAGATAAACTTTAGCAACTCTTCTTTCTTGGACCCTAACTGTAGACAAACAAGGTATTAACAGGACACCAAGCTTGGCTCGTTTGCAGAGGAAGACTATATTTTACATCTAATCAGCATGGACACACAATGTTCTCTCACCACCCCCCAACCCACCCACCCACACACAAGTCTAATAAGCATGGACATACAATATTCCCTCACCACCCCCCAACCCACCCACACACAATGTCTGATAAGCATGGACACACAGCGCTCCCTCACCACTCACCACTCACCCAACCCACCCACACACAATGTCTAATAAGCATGGACACACCATGTTCCTTCACCACTCCCCACCCCCCCCACACACATACACATGTCTAATAAGCATGGACACACAATGTTCCATCTCCATCCCCCCACCCCACCCCTACACACAGATGCCAATTCCCTGACCTGTGAACATGGAGTAGGAATTATTTGTGAATCAGAGATGCAGGAGGTTAGATTGGTACCCATATTTTTCTTAACTCATGCTAGAATGTCCTACAATACTTATTTTACCATTTAGTGTCCTGTTAATATTAAAAATGGCTTGAATCTAGTATCTATTTCCCGTCAACAACACCATCTCCATGTTTCTTAAGTAAAGGAGTCCGTTCTCTTCTCCAGTTAGCTCCTTCTCAATCCCTTCTGGACCTAGAGTAAGATCCCCACGTAGATCATGTCCACCACCCTGTGACTGAGAGCAGGGACTTGGGGGCTGAGAAGCCTGGGTTTAAGCATTGGTTCTCACAGGCCACCTGTATGACCTTAGCATGCACCACTTATGTAAACAACATAAGAGATGAGGAGTAAATCATTTCATCTTCATGACAATACAATGAGGTAGGCACTATTAGAATCCCCATACAAAAGATCTGTGGATGCCACACTCAGGGCATTCTTTGCCCCAGCTGCTAAGGAGGACACTAAGGTTGTCCCTTTCATTCCTCTGCATAAAGATAAGACAAGGATGAGGATGGAAGGGAACAGAGAATGAAGAGACAAAGCACTTTGCAAAAGTAAGTGATCAGGCAGAGAGCCAGAGAATGGCCCTCCAGTTCTGTTCAATGTTCCCAGCCTCCAGGCCCAGCCCCAGGACCTGACCCTCAACAGTCTGCCCAAGCTCTCTTGTGTCCTCAGACTTCTTGGGTCTTCAAATCCAGTAGCCTTTCCTCAATGCACACTCTTTCTGGTCTCTCATTTAATGTTTGTCCCTGCTGGTTATCTCCTGCCTCCTCTATTCTAGGTCATTCTCCCAGGGGAGAGGCAGCCCATCAAACAGCTATATGTCTGGACCCTGGAGCCAGACTGCTTGGGTCCTGTCTCTGCAATCACCTTCCTGGGCTTACTCTATTGGAGCCTCAGTTTCCTTATCTATAATATGGGGATTCTAATAGCGCCTACCTATTAGAATCGTTGTACTGTCATGAAGTTGTACTGTCATGAAGATGAAACAATTTACTACACATAAAATGTGACTCTGATTGCATACAGTAAGTGCTATTAACATATAAGGGCTTGTTACTGTTGTGATCCCAGAGCTCCCTTTCCCACAGCTTTTCCCTTTCTCTAGTACATTTCTCTTCCACAGTTCCTCTTAACTGCACGTGTCCCCCAAGTTCTATCCTCACCCTTCTCTCTAGCAATGCTCTCTTTGTGGATTCATTAGTTGCCCAGGTTCCAAGTATCTTCCCCATACTGGTGACTCTCCAGTCAGTATCTGTGGCCTGGGCCCCTAACTTAGACCGCTCTCTCCCTTTTCTGCTCAGGTGTGTCACTGTCATCTGAAATAAAACATGTCCTTGATGGAACTCAACATCTTCCCCTTTAAGCTGGATCCTCATTCCCTCACCCACTTATAATAGCTTCCAGCTTCCAACTCTCCCTCTCTCCACCTTTTCCCAATATCCAATTTATTAGCAAACCCTGTTGCTCTTCCATTAACTTCACTCTGATCCACCCCTTCCACTGCATTCCCACTGCCCCCACCATCCGGGCCATCCTTACCAGCACAAACCATTACCCAGCTTCACAGCAGATGTCCCCTGGATTAAAAGTGCTTCTCTGCTGGGTAGAACTGATGTTCTGAGTGGAAGAGCTTTCAATGTAGGAGAGCAAGAGGCAACCCTGCTGAGGGGCTAGACTCCTGTGCGGTGCATTCAGCACTACAGGCTCCTAGCACTGAGGGCCAGCTGGACACCCTGTGCCCCAGAACTGAGATTAGGACACACACTCACGCACACATACTCTCACAAACACACGCATACATACACACACTCGTGCATGCTCACACACATTAATGCACGCACACATATACACACACGCACACTCACACTCATCCACACTTTCATGTACACACACTCACACATGCACATTAATGAACACTCACATGCACACTTACACACACACACATGCACACACACACACACTGCATGCACACACACATGCACATTCATGAACACATACACACACACACTCACATGTCCAGATAGACTCTGTTTGGGAATAGGGGCATCATTAGCCCAGCTGAAGATCACGGAGCCTCTTCCAAATCAAACCCATCCCAGACAAAGCTTCTCAAACACTGGTGGCTCAAGCCTCTTCCACAGTCTCTCCCTTCCTACCTGCCTCCTTCATCACCTCTTCTTCTCAAGGTGGCCATAACCCTCCCACCCTCAACTCTCTACTTCCATTCTTACCCCTTCTCTCCACCCTCGATTCTCTACTTCCTCTCTTACCCCGACCCCAGGCCTCCCGGTGCTCCTGCTTCTTCTGCCCCTTGTTGCCTGACAGGCCTCCCAGCACTTGCTATTTGTACCCTATTCATCCTCCCAGCCCAGTTTGTCCTTTCCCTGACTGCACTGTCAAACCCCCAGGCCTGCTCTAAACACCTTAGAATCAGTTCCACCGGGTCTGTCTCTTTGTTACTCTCTCCGATTCTCGTGTATCATCTTGGCAGCTGAATTGGACATTCAGTGTGTTGAGGACAAAGACCACCCCAGTCCTTCATTTCCAGGGCCTGGCACAGGGAAAGGTGGCAGCCTCCTAGGTGATGACACTTGGTAGATTTCAAAGTTCCTGATCAAAACCTGGCCACTTAGACCCTGCCCACTGCCAGCCTGGGATGAATCCCTGCAGAAAGATTTTAGCAACCAGAACAGAATTGGAGCCGGGGAAAACTTCAGCCTCTCAACAGCGTTTTCACTGAGTATCCAAAATAAAAAAGGGTTGGTCCCAGCAGGTGACAAGCTCATCGCTGGAGATAGATGATCTGTCTGTGCCAGGCACTGATTCATTAGCAGAATAGAGGTTGATGCTGAAGCTGGCCTGTGTGTGTTTATTCCTCTCCATAAGCCCTGCCATTGACTCACACTTATCATCGACACATACGACAGCGAAGCTAAGCAGCATAGCTGGTATATTTACCTTCTTCTGCTTGGTGCAGGTCACTGCTGTCTTTTAAGTCTTCATCCACCCAGGGGCGAGCCTCAGCTATGGCTCTAGGCTCCCCCTTCTTTTTCTCCATGTGTCTATCAGCATTTTTAAAGATCCACACAACCAAAATGCAGAGACTGGCTACCAAGATGGGAGTCACGAAAAACATGGCCCGGAGTCTGATGCCACGAGCATGCACACTTCCTACAACGGTTTTAAAACACAGAGACAGGAGTGGAGAATGTCAGGAGATGGAAGGAATGCAGAGAGAGGTGTGCCAGGGAAGGAACAAAGTGCAGAACTCTTCAACTCTATGAGGACTTTGCAAAGGAGCAAAGATCACAGTCACATGTGTGGGGTGTTGTGGCTTTGGTCATGCCCCAGTGCATTCACTTTTTAAAAGTAGGTACTCTATCAATATATTCTTAGACAACAATTGCCAGAATCTGAGTAAGAACTTCCATGTGCTAGATCTAGCTCGATCACCTGAAGACCTTTTTTTTTTTTTTTTTTTTTTTTTAAATAGATTTCTGCACACCAACTCAGATCTGCTGGAAGAAAATGTTCAGGAAAGAGGTTTGGCACCATGCATTTTAAATGGCATGTTTGTGAAAACAGCCCTACGGTTTTGATTTTTTTTTTTTTTTATGATACCTGAGTCAATATATGGAGTAAAGAGAATATCATGTTTTGTATCAGAGAAAGACTTTGATCCAGGAAAAGTGACACAAAAAAATTAAAGTGACAACTTGATTATTTATGTAATAAATTCAGTAAGGCTTTTTATTTGTTTGTCTGTCTGTTTTAGCAAGTGCCTTAGTCAGTTATGGCTGAAATAACAAAAATACTATGGACCAGGTGGCTTAAACAACAGAAATTTATTTCTCCGCCAGGTGTGGTGGCTCATGCCTGTAATCCCGGCACTTTGGGAGACTGAGGGGGGTGGATCACTTGAGGTCAGGAGTTCGAGACCAGCCTGGCCAATATGATGAAACCCTATCTCTACTAAAAATATAAAAATTAGCTGGGCATGCTGACATGTGCCTGCAATCTCAGCTACTCAGGAGGCTGAGGCAGGAAAATAACTTGAATCCAGGAGGCGGAGGTTGCAGTGAGCTGAGATTGTGCCATTGCACTGCAGCCTGGGCCACAAGAGTGAAACTCCCTCACAAAAAAAAAGGAAAGAAAGAAATTTATTTATCATCGTTCTGGAGGTTGAGAAGTCCAAAATTAAGGTGCTGGCAAATCAGTTCCTAGTGAGGGCTACCCTCTTGATTTGCCAACAGGTACCTTCTTGCTGTAACTTCACATGGTGGATGGTGGAAATAGACCATCTCTCTCATCTTTTTCCTTATAAGACCACTAATCTCATTAATGAGGGCTCCACTCTCATCACCTGTTCACCTCCCAAAGGCCCAACCTCCAAATACCATTGTATTGGGGGTTAAGGCTCTAACATATGAATTTTGCCAAGACATATTCAGTCTTTAGCATCAAGGGGCAAAAGTATGTATAACATGATGCCATTTGAATAAAACAGAGTGGAAAATATGATACATTTATACAAGCTTATATATGTATTTCCTGGAAGAGTATACTCTAAACTTTAAAGAGTGGTTATATCAGGAATTCTCCTTATTAATTTTGTAATTTCTTGGGAGTCTATATTATTTCAAAATAAGGAGTTAAAAAAACCAAGTGGTTACTTGTTTAGGAGGGAGTGTGGAAACTGGATAGATAGAGGACAAGGGTGAGAGAATTTCTACTGAATACTATTCTATAATTTCAGAATTTTGAGCTGTTGTAACTATATTATCTATTTAATAAATTGAACATGTGTTATTTATTTGAATAGTCATTTTGATGGTTTTATTGTATCATATATTGTAATACTCCTTTTTGTGATAGACAGCTGTTTTTTGAAATGTATGTCATCCTGGTTCTCTAACTCCAGAGAGCTCTGTAAAAGATAAGAAGCAAAGTTTATTATGGAAGCACTGGCCTCCACAGACCACTGAACTTGGTGGTGCTGCCTGCCATGCCACAGCTTCTGTACAGGAAAGTGCCCTCCCCTGTGCCTGCTGAAACGGTGTCAGAGGGGACATGTCCAGTCCATGTGGTCCAACCCCACACAGGCAGCTGAAAATGGCAGAGCCTGTGTTGGGGCCCAGCTTCTCTTTACATCCCACTGAAAACACAGACTAAAGGAACCGCTCCATAGCAAGAGAAGAGCAGAACAAATGTGCAGAGAGAAGCAAGGCCTGTGAGGCAGCAACACCTCACAGCCCAGGGGAAAGGCAAGGTGAGGGGCCATGGGTGGCAACTGCCTCTGCTCCTAGGAGGTCCCAGGCCTGGCTCGGTTTCAACCCATGTGTCTCCTTACCTATGAAGAATCAGAAAGATCCTCTATGCCTATAACTACAAAAGCACAATTCATATCAGTGTCAGGAACGGGATTAAGCCCAGGAAAAATGGGGTGGTGGAAATTGGTTACAGTGCACTGGTGGGTGAAGTCTGGGAGGCACCCCCATCTCAGAAGGGAATACCAACAGCTATGGCATGCAGCAGCTGGCCGGCTAATTAGAGTATTGCCTGAGTCTCTTGGGTTTCAGACCACGTGCCCAGCAGAATGAGTCTGCAGGGGATTCTGAAGCCATTGAGAGCCCCAGAGGAGCAGAAACATAAGGACAACCATGCCCGAGGGCGGATTTCTGTCATGTTTGGTGACTCGCAATGGGAAAGAAAAGATTCTTGCTCTCAATTGCTTGGTTCAAGACAGAGAAGAAAAGCAAAGTGACCATGCATTCCTTCATTCATTCATTCACTCATTCATTCAACATATATTTTTGGGGGATCCATGCAAAAGGCATTGCATTTGGGGCCAGACATAGACCAGAGGGCAGTATGGGCTGCACATGCTTCATGGAGCCTGGAGCCACAGAGAGACAAGCAGATCGAATCTCACATACTAAGGCCACATTCCAACTTCCCGATGAGCTGCTAGGGAGCTGACTAGAGCATGACTGGGCTGAGTTGGTGAAATCAGAGGCTTCCTAGAGGAAGGAATGGCTGAGTTGAGGTTGGAGCTGTGAGTGGGAATCAGTCATGGGGGAGGAGAGAGCCTTCCAGGCAGAGGTCACGGTGTGCAGCAGGATAATTGAGGAATCAGAGAGACCAAGGGGTTGAGGAGGAATTACTTAATTACTTAGGTGCACCCACCCAGTCGGATTAACATCCAAAGGACTGAGCCCCGAACAAAGAGTCAAGCTACCTTTTAAAAATTTTGTGGGGTGGGGGAAGATTTGTGCAGGGGGAAGCGTATTACAGAAGTGAGAAACAAAGAGAGCTATTCAATTAAGACATGCATTACATTATTTCTTACTTTTCAAGGAACAACACGTTTTATGACTTGAGTTTATCTGTCTAGTGACCTTGCAGCTGCATAGCTAGAGAAACAGGGTCTTCACAATGCCCAGGAAAGGGAGAGATAAGACTCACTAGCCTCAGAGAAACAGGCAGTCAATTTTTAAAGGACTTCAGCTCTTTCTTTTCCTCAGGGGGAATTGGTTTTTCTTACATACAACTGAGCTTTTGCTTACATATTTTAAAATTTCTTTTAATTCCTGTTCCAGGTGTGGGCAAAGACCTATGCCTTGGAAGGAACAGGTACCTGTGGAGAGGATTGACAGGAGCTGAGGATTTCAGGAGGGCGTAAACAGCGGATGCAGGGAGCCAGAGAGGTAGGAAAGTGCCAGATGAGGCAGGTCTCTGTAGGTCATGCTGGTAAATATTTTCTTCACCCTAAATGGAACGTGGGGAGGGAACAGTGACAGGTTGAGAACTGGGGACACATCAAGCACACACCATGTGGTAGCAGGTTCCCTTCTTAGCACTTATGCATATTTACTCATATGTACCTCACAACAACCCTGTGCAATAGATCCCATTAGTATCTTCATTTTTCAAATGAAGAAAATGAAGTACAAATAGGCCGAGGGTCAGTGTCAGATAAATGGGCAGAAATAGGCCCTGTGTGTATCCCCTTGGAATGGCTCCCCTGTTGTTCACTTCTTCATAGCAGGCCAGAGTCCTTGGCCAGAGCCCATTGGTGCCACACTGGCCTGGCTGGGGAATGGAAAGTGGGAGGTGCAGGTTTCTTGCACTGATGTAGGAGGTACAGGTACTTGGCATCATGCGGCTCCAGCTTAGCTTAGGAGAAATACAGAAAAGAGGTTTAAAAATGCATATAGCATAGAGGAAAAGAATTGGCAGCTGCTACCAGGGGGCAAAGGGTGGCAGGAACAGGTAGTGGAGAGGGGCAGGGAAGGTCATGGTGACACCAGGAGGGGAGGCACACAGCCCTGGAGCTCTGGTGCCCACACTGCTTTATATTCCAAAGCACCTGCAGGGCCAGTGAAGTGCATCCTTCCCAGCACTCTCACTCTTGGATTTCCACGATACTATCCCTGCCTCCTTCTTGATGTGGATTCCCACAATGCTCACCTGAGCTAGACCCCCACTTCTCCATATCCAACCCCATTTCCATGGCCAGGCCTCTCTTTCATGGTCAAGTCAAGATAGCAAATGCCTTGTGTTCCCCACCAACCTTGATGGTAAAGGCCTCTGCTAATATCAAAGTTTCCATTTGGTTTTATTTTAGCAGCAGAGCTGTGGTTGGCGGCATAGTGTCATGCCACACTGCTGACTTGGGGAAGGCCCAACTATCTCTCTACTCTGAGTAGCTCTCAACTACCCTGGTCAGCTTGTTTCTGCAACATGTTTCCTCATCAAGTGAGGAAAAGGGAGGAGTGCTGAGGATGGATGTGTTGGAAGATGGTATGAGATACTTTCACACTGGTTGTGTTTCATTACTCACTTCAGATTCGTTGTCTGGTTTAATCATTTCATTTCCACTGATGACAGAAAATTTAATTTTGCTATCAAGACAATTTTGGCTAGGCATGGGGGCTCATGCCTGTAATCGCAGTGATTTGGGAGGCCGAGGCAGGACGATCTCTTGAGGCCAGGAGTTTGAGACCAGCCTGTCAACATAGCAAGACCTCATTGCTACCAAAAAATAAAAAATGAACAAATTAGCCATGCATGGTGGCCCATAGCTACTCGGGAGGCTAAGTGGGAGGATCACTTGAGCTCAAGTGTTTGAGGCTTCAGTGAGCTATGATGGCACCACTGCACTCCAGCCTGAGTGACAGAGCAAGATCCTGTCTGATATGTCTGATATGGTTTGGCTCTGTGCACTCAACCAAATCTTATCTCGAATTGTAATCCCCATGTGTCAGGGAGGGACCTGGGGGGAGGTGACTGGATCATGGGGGCGGTTTCCCCAGGCTGTTCTCATCACAGTGAATGAGCTCTCATGAGATCTGATGGTTTAAAAGTGTTGCACTTCCCCCCCCCCATAAATTACCCAGTCTCAGGTAGTATCTTTG